TAGGAAAGCCAGATCACTGAGCCACTTTTCGTTTTGAAGTAGATGAGTGTCGTCCCCTAATTCTTTTAAAAAAAATTACTTTCGGAATTAGCTCCTGGAATTTATCTAAAAATTTTCCACGGCTCAACTACCTCATATCTGCATGCAGAAGTAAATCAGTGTGTTCCGCAGAGTCGCTAGCTTCCAATTGCGCTTTAAAAAGTTATCGTTGCAAGCTTCGGTCTCTGATTAAATTCACAATTTTTGTTGTCATCTTCACGATGTCGTCCATATTTAACATTTTAAAACACAAAACTTGCTGGTGAATGATGCAATGAAATGAAAAAACGATGGAAAGTCATCGTTAGTTCGACATAATACAACAAATCCATTGTTAACGCCAGTCATGGATAGTGCACTATCTGTTGTTTTACACACGAGTTTGTAAATCGATAGCTCATATTGTTTCACAAAATTTATAAAAACGTTGTATATATCCTCTCGGCGATTTTTTCTTTCAGGGGCAGCATTGTTAACAATTCTTCTTTAGCCAACATGTCAGAAAATACCATCCGAATGAAAATACACAACTGGGCGGTATCAGTCATATCGGTTGACTCAGCAAATTGCAAAACAAAGTACAAAGAATCATATTTATTTCGATCATGCACGTGTGGTGAGTCAGCACAGTCCCCGTATTTTCTCTGTTAATCGCGATCGACTTCAAAAACTTTGGCGATCGACTCTTTGAGCACCGCTGGTGTGCTCTCTCCACTCCTTCTTTGGTTCTGGTTTCTTTCGCAACACCACTGTAAAACATTAAGTAATTATCTTATATAATTTGACCTTTCCCCTTTTTCTTTGTCTCTTGAATTGCACAGAGATCAATATTTTTCTCTTTAATTATTTTTTGTTCAGAGATTTTACGTTCCACATACAATTCGAAAAATATTTTTCGTTTTCATTTTTTTCGAATTGATCGTCATGATTCAATCCGTCATGCTCTGAGGCATAACCTTGTCTCTATGAGCAAAATATTTAACATCCATCAGTAAGGTGCTAACCTTGCTGAAGACTCCGCCTTCCTTTATCCAGACTTAGAACCGGCAACAGTACTGTTAAGCTACTTGGTCCACCCATTAGCACTGCTGGAGGAGTTCAATACTGTTTGTGTTGGCAATAAGTAGAAAGATAAATATTACACATATGTAATGCTTGCTGTTACCTAATGAGAGGGATGAACCTGATGCTGTGATACCAATTTTTCATTTTGTGGCTTTAAATTAGTAAGGTAAAATCTTAAATCTCAACGTTCAATGATTTTCAGAACATCATGTACGTTTTAGCCAACATACAACCATAATAGTTTTTTTGACTAATCTCTCTTTCTTCCTCCACTTTTCCTTGTATTATAAGGTGAAGTAAATGGTATTTGAGTTCTCTAATTAGATCTCCGAAGTATTCTATTATCTCCTCTTTACGATGTTTGTGAGCAGGCGTTCTGAATTCATCATTTTTAGAACATATTAAGAACATATGTCAGAGGACAAGAAAAGAGATGAACAAACTAATAAAAACGAAACACATTCAGAAGGAAATATTGGTAGACTATTTTCTATCCGTGTTTGCTAAAGGTGACGAGGATGAACCACCAACTCCAGAGGTGACGACAAACGAATAAATAAATATTGAGAAGGAAGAGGTAAAGGAAGCATTAAGGAAATTAAAAAATTGAAAATCACCAGGAGCGGACAGAATACCGAACGAACTCCTGAAGTACGGAGGACCAGATCGGACCAAACAACTAATTCAAAAATAATAGAATAAAACAGAATTTCTCAAGAATGGAGATCAAGCATCCTAATCCTATCTCTAAGCTCTCTTCAACAAGGGAGAAAATCGGACCCGGAAAATTACAGAGAAATTAATTCATTAAACACAACACTTAAATTAACAACCAAAGTAGTAACAAATAAATTTAATGAAATTATAACACTAGCAGAGGAACAACAAGGTTTTAGTTCGGGAAGATCATGCACCGACGCTATATTTATATTGAGGTAAGTGCAAGAGAAATCATTAGAATGCAACAAACCGGCATATCTATGTTTCGTAGACCTTACAAAGGCATTTGACCGGGTCAAATTAAAGGACGTTATCCACTTACTGTACGCAAGAGAGATACCTCTAGGAATAATTAAAACGACCGAAAACATCTACCCAAAACAACACAATAAATTAAAAGTAGAAAAAGAACTAACCGACCCTATTAAAGCTGGCAATGGGATAAGACAGGGAGATTTCCTGAGTCCTTTATTGTTCAAACTGAGTATGGATCAAATAATAGAAAAAGAAATAACAAAAAAGGATACCAAATGGGAGAAAAGCAGCTTAAAACATTCTGTTATGCAGACAACACAATACTACTCTCTCAAAGTGAAGATGATTTACAACGTATGCTGCACCAATTTAATATAAGCGCCAGAAAATTCAATATGTTAATTTCCCCAACAAAGACAAAATGCATGGTTATAACAGCAAATTTACTAAGATGTAAATTGGAGCTGAAAGGTCAGATAATAGAACAAGTGATGGAGTTTAAATATCTAGGCATCACATTATCTAGCTACAGAAAGCTCGAAACCGAAGTGGAAGATCAAGTGAATAGATCAAACAGTGCCGCAGGCTGCCTTAATGAAGCAATATGGAGAAATAAAAATATCGGGAAAGAAATGAAAGGCAGAATGTACAAAACAGTCATCAGACCAATAATGACATACACGACAGAAACAAGACCTGACACAGACAGGACAAAAAGGATGTTAAAATCAGCAGAGATGAAAACACTTAGAAAAATTGATGGTTGGACACTATGGGACAGAGCTAAAAGTACAGATATACGTTATAGATGAAAGGTGCAGAACATCAAAAACTGGGAAAGTAATAGAAGAGTAGAATGGAACGATCATATAAGCTGAATGACAACAAATAGAGTAGTAAAGATGGCAAGAGACGGTTCCCCAATAGGAAGATGATCAGTAGGAAGACCACGAAAACGATAGAATGACAACTTACTGGAGGCACATTAAAACACAGACAGAGTCATGTCTATATATAAAGAAGAAGGAGAACATCCTCATTGGAAGACTGCGAAACCCATTATATTTTTAGGATCCACTGTTGCAACACAATTTGAATGCTTCCAGGTTGGTAAACATTGCTAGACCACAATTTGAATGCTTCCAATTTGTTAAGCATTGTGGTTTTGACATGTCCATGTCTCACAACCGTATAATAGGATAGAATAAACATTTCAGGACCTTCTTGTGAATATTTATCAACAGGCTTATGTTATATAAAGCTGGTATTCAGGTCATAAAATCCTTACTTAATATTTCGATTGTGATTGTTATCTCTTCATCAGAGTCACAATTTACATTTAACTTGCTACCAAGGTATTTAAAATGGTTTACGCGTTTGGATGCAGTTCAATTGAACTATTCAGGCGAGTAACCAATAAAATTATAATTGCCAGAATGATTTCCAATCTCCGATAGGAGTGGAACTTGAAGAAGAAGAAGACGCGTTCTATATTCTTTCCATTAAGCGATTGCAGACTTTTATCTGGATTAATCTTTCCAACTGCCATCCGCTTTGTCTTTGAAATGTTAATTTTAAGGCCTCTCCGATAACTTGCTTCACTGACTAGATTTACTAATGTTTGGAGATATTGTAAATTTTTTACAAGAACAACTCTATCGTCAGCGTATCTGATTTTGTTGATTACTTTTCCACCTAATCTTACATCCCCTTGTCTGTTATACAAAGCCTCCATGATAATTTTTTTATAGTATAGATTAAAAAGACTAGCTGACAAAACACAACCCTGTCGTACTCTACGTTTGATGAGTAGATTTTCACTACGACTATCTCTAATTTTAATAGAGTCTACTTGATTTTAATACAATCATTTTGGAAGTCTTATATCCTAAATGGTCAAGTCCTACTGCCCGCAGGCAATCAAAATATGTATCGTGTTGTACTTGGTCGAATGCCTTCTCGAAGTCGATGAAACAAATATAAATGTTCTCTTGCAACTCGCAGCTTTTTGTATGAGAACGCGCATACAAAATAGTGCCTCTCTAGTTTCTTGACCATTTCTAAATCCAAATTTCTTATTACCCATTCTACTTTCGCTTAGAAGGAATATTCGATTTTGTATAATTCGGAAAAAATATTTTAAGTGTGTGGCTCATCAAACTGATAAGTCTAAAATCGCTGCATTAGGTGGGCCTGTTTTTCTTTGGTAATGTTATAAACAGTGACTCGAACCAATTTTCTAGTATTATGCCTTTGTTGTAAATTTTGGTAAAAAAAAGAGGATTAGTAGGTAATGTTTTCCTCGTTAAAAAATTTAAGCAGCTCAACAGGGATTTGATCTGGTCTAGGTACTTTATTATTTTTGGCTTGTTGTAATGTTTTTATAACTTCTGATTGCAGTATACTGGGACCTTTGTCCAATAAATAGTATTACACCACAGCCGCGTATACATATGTATCTGTACAGGTTAAGTTGCCGACTCTAAAGACCTATCATAAATATGTTTGGCTGCAGAATCTGAGACAGTGATATTGTTGGAGTTCATAACAACTCTTTAAAATATAATTCTACTTAACGAAGAACAACCAAAGAAGAGGTATAAACATACAGTTTGATAAAACAGCTGTATTGACAATAATAATCCATATAAAATATGTCACGTAATTCAGCGTGGTGACCAAACTGCTTACAATCCGTACAAATGAGTGATTTCTAAACTCTCTCAAATTACGATTTTTTATGGTTTTACATGGGGTATAATATTTTATTCAAATTTTTTGTTTAAAAGTACTCACAAATTAAAAAACAAATATTATATTATTTACAGTACTTTATACGATAACAAGTAGTAAATAACTCAATGTCTCGAAATAGCACCTACAATAAATATTAAAATCTTATCTGATAAACAAAAAGATATCACACTTCTAGCTCGGATCAGTCATTTAAAACGCATCATTTAATCGTGTTAAATTACAGATAAATACCGAAAATCCGGTGCCAAATATTTAAGCGGCGTCCCTCAAATATTTACCAAGTTTTCGATCATATTTCGAAGCGATAAAATTTAGGGAGAATTTATGAAATGTCATTTTAAAACGTGCGAACAAATTGGCACAAAACTTGAACGTTGAATCAGTAGTGGATAAACACCATTCGGGTCAAAATGATGAATTTGTTTTATTGTCACCTGTAAAATAAATACGAAGTGTAGATACTATTAAGTGCATATTGATATTAACAAAAAATGGCGGCGTATCAATTTTCTAAAAGAAGGGTGAGTAGTATCCCTGATTTTTTTTATTTATATCTAATGTTTTTATATTTTAGAGTTCGTCAATTAAAAAAGAATTCACCGAGAATGAGCTAGAAGGTAAGAAACAATAAAATTGTTTTAACTTAAAAAAAATGGATTTTTTTCATTTTTTTCGCTTTAACACTTAGTAAACACTGGCATATAAAATACAAAATATAAATAAATTTTTTTATTATATTCTGCTTTGGATAGTTCTATTGTTTTTTGTTTTATAGTACCCTTGTACTAATTTATTTACATTAGTTTTTTTTTAGTTTGGTTCTTTTCACACTATATTCATTCTTCTTTTTCATGAGCTATATCCGCTACGAAGGTTAGTTATAATCATGGCAATCTAACATTGCAGGCTGCTACTCGGAACACTTGAATATAACTACAAGCGAACCATTCCTGACGTTTCTCAATCACGAGATTATTCTTCTTCCAATGCTGCGCTTACCTCCACTCTTTTCCTAAATAAGTACTTGTATGTAACAGTTGATATGTATCTTCGCTTGCCTCTATTACTTCACTTAGTAATGTCTATAGGTCATCGATATTTTCGGCAATGAGTACGTATAAGATACTTCGAACAGGATTTCCGTTGATTTTATTCCGGCTATTTTGTTTAAGGATTAAATACATCTTGCGATTAAACATTAAACAAGATTGGAGACAACACAGAACCTTGTCGAAAATCTCTTTTGATTTTTATTTTATAATGATATAGAGCTATTTATTCGCATTGTAGCTTCTAGTTCTAGCCATAGTAAAGGTTATATATTCTTCGGATGTTCCTAAGCAACGTTATATTAGGACATCAAAAGCAAATGAATAGTGCTTTATTGGTCTCTAGTCCATTTCTAAAGAAAATTTGTATGTGGCCGATGTCAGTTTCAAATTTTTTATATATTCTTCGATAAATTATTTTTATAGTTTAAACACATAACACATAAAATTGATGGCCCAATCCCTTGAATCCTCAGAACAACTTCCTCAGTTTGTTCAAATTTGTACGTGCCCTCTTACGCGCACTCTAATGATCGATTATGGTGCCAATATAGTTGTAGTTCTTTACTTCTTCAAGAGTTTTCCCATTACCTATTAACCTTTTATCATTATTTCTTTGATGATTAATCGTCACAAAAGTTTTCTTGATATTTATCGAAAGGCCATAGTCTTTTGATTGATCAACTATCCATAGACTCCATGTCTATGATGGTTTTCAGTGCTTCCAGAGTAGTATAAAGTAGGTGTTTATCGAAAAGCATCCCGATTTAAGCCACCATATTCTGCTTACTATTATTTTATTTTATTATATCATCCGATTATTTGGGTTCTGGTATTTTTTTGTCTTTTTTAATTTCATGATCTCATGATCTCTGTGTATAATTACTTTATTCTATCTGTAATTTTTATGTTTTATGATATGATCAGCATATTTTCATTAAAGTTGAAGCATCTTTTACTTCGGATTTATTACGAATCCAACTATTTCTTTATTCTAGAGAGAAATCTAACTACACTTTTTCTATCATAGTACTGGTTTGGTCAAGATTTGCCGACTTATTATCACAATATTAGATACATATTTGTGTTTCATATATATGTGAATTCAAGTTGTTTATGTATTGTATTGTTAATTGTTTAGGTACCTACTATAAAATTGTACACGCGGTAAAATATTTAAAATTTAGATGAATTTACCATTTTATTTTTTAACGTTTGTACTCCTTGGAAAATGTCCTATGCAAAACTATAGAATCATTAGATAAAAATGAAAAACCTTGATTAGTATCAAAAACTTATTTCATTTTTTTTTTAATTAATTGCCCATTACTTCCATGTCCCGATTTAATTTTTAATTTCTAATTTACTACTAATTTTACTGACTCACATTAATTAACCTCTTATCTTTCTAATATGGTAATAGTGGTAATAAAATTGTTATGGTATATGCGGGTTGTTGATTCACTTTCAGATATTCAATTTTTTTTGCCTCCTGAATGGCTTCGGAAATATCATTATCAAATTCGATTATAATAATTCTATTTCATTTCAGTGTTTAAAGTCCAAAAAACTGCTTCGAGCCATGTTTCCCACCTTAAAATTACTGGTTTATGTAACAAAGAAATACCCAAAGCTTTTTTAATATATATCTGCACCTTCAACAATTTTTTTTTAATTCATTCACCAACGAAAACAGGTTTCTTATTTCTTCTGCAAATTTTATTTATCTCGTGAGCTACACAAGTGCAATGAATTAAGGATAAAAATCTTTAAATCAACAGCAAATCTATTTTATTCACTGGTATAGAGTTGGGTGAAAAGAAATTTGTTAAACCATCTTGGCTAAATCTACTAATAGTTAAATTGTTTGTTTTCTACAATTCTTTAAGAGCGACTAAATAAGTTTTCGTTCAAAGTTCCAATCATAAAATTAGCTATATACCTGCCGCATACAAGAAATTGCCCTCTAACTACAACTTAATTTTTAAAATACATTCCACATATTTTTTCCCGTAGTTTGTTTTTTTTAATGTACTCTCCTCTGCTAAGGATTTATAAACTTAGAGGAATTTAATTATTCCAAATTTTGTTTATAAAGTGGGTTCCACAGAGCGGATCATTAAAGTATTTATTACTACTTAAAATCTAAGAATTAAAAAAAATATATCAATAATTATAATTTTTAGACCACGTTAAAATGTTGTAACACTGTTGTAAAATTAAAATAGTTATAAAATGAGAAAGAGAAAAAAAAAATAAAGCTTACTGATTTGCATCACGATTTACACAATGCTTCATCTCCTTTATCTCTAAAAAAGCTATTTATAACTAAACTGTTTCTTATTACATTACAAATTATATAAATTGGCGTTGTTTTACATCTATATTTTACCTAATTAGCAATTAAATTGATAAAATATGGGGGGACTGCACGAAACGTTTTTTTTTTTAAAGACTGAAATATTATTTTCATTTTTTTTTTCTGTTCATCCCATTTTCATTTATGTGAGGTTTTTTATCTCCACTTTTCTGGAAACACCTTATTTTAAGAATTTTGAACTTACAATATATTGGTAGTTTGTATCCTGATAGAGGGGTAATTTTAATTCATTAAGAAGAATAGTTTATTATTTTCCTTTCCGTAAATATGTCCTCCCTCGCCCAGAATCTGTACTGGGACTAATTAATTATCTATCAGTGTGAGATTGTGAATTTTTCATTCTACTCACCTGGGGTAACTCCGTTTTTGTTTCCGGATCTGACATGATGAAGGGATAACAGCATTTATAATAATTAATTATTTTGTGTTTAAATGACTGCGGACACTAAATCCATTCGCCAATCTTACAATTTGAGGTGTAGTGTGTGTGTGTGTGTGTGTGTAGAGTAATTGTCTTGATACTTAGCAAAGTCGACGTCATTGTCTTTGCTAAGAGACGCTAATTGTATCCGAACGTCTGCGGTCCCTCCGGTGTGTACCGATCACACAAGGATAGAAATTATTTTCATCTATTAATTTTTTTTAATAAACGAAAATTTCCACCCAGGTGGGATTCGAACTCACGACCTTTAGATTTAAAGGCAGGCGCTCTTACCACTGAGCCACAGAGGGGGTTTAACAGCATTTATATTATTACATATATTTTATTTTAGACTGGTTTAGTTTTTTTTTTGGAATCCCGTGTGTTTATTTTTGGCCATATATTCAAGACCGCTTTAGCCATAGGTACCATTGTTGTATTGTGTGTTTTTTTAAACATATTTTCTTGCATAGTTGAAAGTTGGCTATAAATTAAGCAAACATAAAAAGCGATTGTAAATTTCAACCATTATAGTCTCTCAGATTTTTGACATGGACATTGTCTCATGCCCGGTCTATATCTTTATTCCATCTTAAATGTATATACATGTTCCAATTTACTCGTCATTCGTTTTCTAACAATTTTTAAAATTTTTCTATTTATTTCCATTCTTCTCAAAATAGTTTTTGAAAATACGTTGCGTCCATGATATTCTGAGCATTCTACTCATTCTTTTTTTTTTCTTTTTCTTTCTCAGCTTTTCCCTTTTCAGGGGACTCATTCGCCACTCATTTCTGTCCATTGGGTCTTCTTCACTCAAACCATTCTTTCTTAAGTTCTCTGTCACACGTTCCCTTAATCATCGCCTCGCTTTTCCTCTTCTTTCATTAACTTATAACAGCTCTATCCTTCATCCCAAATAGTTTTCATCTCTACGTTTGATATTACCAAACCATTGCAGTCTTTGTTCTTGAATATGTTTTTAGAGTATAGTTAACCCGACGTTTTCCTGTACCAAGTCGTTTTTGATCCTATTCCTTTCATTCTTACAAAACATTCACCGTAACATTTTCATTTCAGCTACTATCATCTTCTTTTCTTTTTTACAGGCCACACTTCACCGCCGTACACCAACGCAGGTCTCACCATACTCTTATCTATCTTTCCTTTCAGCACTCCCCCGATTTTTCGATCACAAAGTACTCCGCTTATTAGCTTTCAGTTAAACCATCTAGCTTGTATCCTGTGGGCAATTTCTCGATTTAGTTTCTCATTTTCCGTTATTTAGGAGCCAAGGTATTTAATAAATTATCCTACTCGTCTCCAAGAAATTCTACGTCCCCAACCATTCCTCTTACTCCCAACCACATATACTCCGTTTTCGACCCGCTAACCTTAATTCCTCCCTCTTCAATAGCCTTTCTTAAAAAATCCAACTTCTCCAGCAACATTTCTTTGTTCTCCTTCACTTACACGATATCATCATCAAGGAGCATTGACCAAGGAGTCTCCTTCCTTACTTTCTCTCTCAGAAGATTCATAACAAGATTAAACAGATAAAGACTCAGTGAAGAGCCTTGATGCAAACCACCCGTCACTGGAAATCGTAGCAGTCTCTACTTTGGTGTATGCTTCCCCATACATATCCTTCACGAGCCTTACGTACTTGTCAGGAACCCATTTTTCTCTCATACATATCCATAGTTCTTGTCTAAGAAATATGTCGTACGCCTTTTAAAGATCTATAAATATCAAATGTAGCTGTCT